TTAATGAGAAGACAAAAAATATTCACCATGATTACTGTGTTTAAAAATGCATAACTTAATTGGTTTTTAGGCAAGAAAAGAAATTTGAGCATCTAGTAGTTATATTTATGCAAGCAGTAATGCCATTTTCAGCCTACCTGAAATCACATGCTGTAATAAATTCCGCTCCTCCACCTAGTGCTCGTCCTTGAATCAGTGCAACACTTATTAAAGGAAGTCTGTATATTAGAAAAAAAGGAAGTGTATGTCAATATTCTTAATTTCAATAATAATCTCGGAATGCTTTAAAATATTTTAAGAGGCAATTGTTGTTAAGTTCTGTTGAGTCGATTCTGACTCATAGCGACCCTGTATAGGGTTTCTGAGGAGCTGTGGGTTTGAACTGCTGACCTTGTGGTTAGCAGTTCAGTGTTTACCCTACACCACACCAGGACTCCAAGAGGCAGTAGAAAGCAAAACTATTGCACTGCCTTTATAATGAACGTAAGTCAAAGATCAGGGGAATCTTGACACTGTACAATGAAAAAAAATATACTGAAAGCATGATAATTCAAACTAAATGCCATGCAGTTTATCCAAAACCTCTCTGAATCATTGCATATTTTTTAAAATTAGAGCCACAGTATAATTTTCTTCCAAATGTTATATATATCACGGTTCTTAGAACTTCCCAGCAGCTGTCCATCAAGAATAATTCCAGGTTACATTGTCTTAGTCCATTTTTATTGGTATCAGGGTTGTTGTTTTTGTTGCTGTTAAATGCCTTGAGCTGGTTCCGACCCTTAGCCAACTCTGATTAGGGTTTCTTACAAGTAGCTGGTGAACTTGAACCACCGACCTTGTGGTCCAAACCAACTTTGCAGTTCAGCCCATTAACTCACAACGTCGCACCAAGGCTCCTGATGTCAGAGTAACAGTGGAAAAATTAAGGCTACTCAATGAAAGGAAACGTGGTAGAGAAGACTGAACTACCACACTGTTATTACAAAGGTGCCTATAAAAAATGTTTTTAATATTAACCTGAAATGATTCAGAGATTAATAAAAGAAAAAACTCCCTGATAAAAAGTACCTTCTACCTTTTCTGTTTAAAAAGACCCAGTTTGCAGGAATGTATAAATATTAAAACATAAACCTAAAGTGTCTTCAAAACGTCTAGTGATTTTCATTAGATGTTTTCAGAATTTGCTAACCAAAATGCAAAGCTACAGGTCTAAAGTAATTCAAAATTTTTTAACACACTGCCCCCAAATATAAAGAATTTTTGTTTTAAAAAAGTTTAAGACTTAAAAATACAAATTGACAGGTTTTGTGATTTCTAATTTTTCTACATTTGGAACAATGGGAATGGGAAGCTATCAGTCACAAGCATGTCATAATTTGTAACCCCAAAAGTACAGTGATAGGCTAATATAAAGATTTCCCTTTCTTTTTCACCCAAGTCACAAAGTTTATCTTCTGCCTCAGGAAACTTTAAAAATCCTCTCCAATCTCTTGTCTGTTTTCTCTCTCCTCTGAAAACAGATTATTCTACTATACATTCTACTTTGTTGTTGTTGTTGTTGTTAAGTGCCACCAAGTTGATTCCAACTCATAGCAAACCTGTACAGGGTTTCCAAGGAACAGATGGTGGGTTTGAACTGCCAATCTTGCAGTTAGTAGTTCAGTGCTTATACTGCCATGCTACAACAGGACTCCATGCTTTATCATAGGTAGTAATGTAAGTTCTTTAGGGACAAGGGCTCTGTCTTAAGTCTTTTGTTGTCCTGTGTTTCTCTTATCTTTCAAATACTTTTGTATACTCATACTTCACCTTGTTGATAGGTACGGTTGCATCAGTTCTGACTTACAGTGACCCTATGCACATCAGAACACAACACTGCCCGGTCCTACACTATCCTCAAATTGTTGTTACATTTGAGCCCATTGCTGCTGCTACTGTGTCAACACATCTCTTTGTTGGTCTTCCTCTTTTTCGCTGACCTCTCCACTTTACCAGGCATACTGTCCTCCTTCAGGGACTGGACACTCCTGCTA